CCATATTTATGCTATCTTCTGCGCATAAAACTTCCTGCATGGCAGGTTTTACGAGGTGATGACTCAGCAGTCTGAGGGACGCAGCAAATGATACAGGAGAAAGAGAAGGTAAGTGGAATTTAAATTCAAAACTTTTTTTTTTTTTTATTTTGGATAGAGTAGAAAATTATTAAAAACCCCGTCAGTTTATTTTAGCTATCTATGTTCATCTAGGGAAATTTCTTTCTCATTCCTGTCCTGTAGATCAAGCAGAAGGTGACAAATCCAATTTTGTATTCTCCTTCACCTTCAGTTCTAGTAACTTCAGTTCACCTTCAGTTCTAGTCACCAGGGAAAACAGGCAGAATGGATCTTCCCAGTAACAGGGCTCTAACCCCTCACCATTTTATGCAAAATTTTAAAAGTTTTAGTTTTAAATGCACTTTTAAAAACAAATGTATTACCATTATTACTATTGGACACAGGTGTTCTGAAGGCAAATGTGTAAAGCTTAAATTTTAGGGATAAGGTGTTAGATTAACTTTGAGTAAAACTTTGTAAGGTGTATGCAGAGCAAAGAAACAGATTCACTTTAAAGTCAACCACAACAGCAGATAGTACTTACCTTTCCTTTACTACAATGCTGCTGTGTTTCCTGTGAGTAAAGACCTCAGTACTTCAAGAAATGAGGACACATTGTCCAATATATTTTTTTCCCAACAGGAGAAAACTGTCATTCATAGGTAGGGATGAGCTCAAGGCTTGAATCAAACACAAGTTCAGACTCATGGTAGTGGTATTTTACAGCTACTACTGTATATATATGACAGTTTCCTATCTGTAAATGGTTGCTAATGAAGTGTCAGGTGCCAGCTCCCACCACATCCTTATCATTCAGTGATGTCATCTGACCCCAATCCTTCACTTGCCAAGAATCCTAGGCTATGTAAACAAAGGGATAGCATGACATCACTTTCCAAATTCAGCCACATGGCCATATTTAGGTAATAAGAGAGACTAAATATGCATGAGGCCATATTTGGTCAATGATGTCACCCAGGAGACCATTATCATTAGTGTTGAGGTCCGGGAGATGTCAGGGATACCTTTAGAAAGGGGGTGAAAATTGCAAATAGGTTTTTTTTTTTTTAACATCCTCTAGACCACAGGTGTCAAACTGGTGGCCCTTCATCTGTTGCCAAACTACAAGTCCCATGAGGCATTGCAAGATTGACAGTTACAAGCATGACTCACAAAGGTAGAGGCATAATGGGACTTGTAGTTTCGCAACAGCTGGAGGGCCGCCAGTTTGACACCCCTGCTCTACTCTACGGATTTTCTTAAAATTGTTCAAAGTGAAAATCTTAAAGTAGAAATTCTGCTTTTTAATAACTAATAACAACTTGCTGCAGATGAAGCATGACAGCTTGAGGCAATTGTTCACACCTGAGCATTGGGATCACAGGCAGAATTGCCAAGATGCTCTGCAAAACTGAAAAATCGCACCATGCTTGTTCAGGTATCATTCATTTTCAATGGCACCTAAATGCAGGTGAGGTTCTGCCACAATTGTTTGTATGATGCAGATTGGCGCAATTGCAGTGGGATTTATCTTGGCAGAACCGCACCAATGTTTAGGTGCCATTGAAAATGACTGGCAGCGGAACAAGTGTGGTGGGATTTGTCAGTTTTGCAGAGCATTTTGGGATTGCGGGCAGAATCACAACGATTCTGCCTGCTATCAAAAACACCCAGGTGTGAACAAGGCCTAAACAGCCAATAGTAGTGTACATCTCTGGCTATATCTGCTTGATTTGTTTACTGGCAATTTTTTAAATTAAATTTACAATCCAGTGGCGGAACTACCAGGGTCACAAAAGTTGCATTTTCAACTGGACCCTGGCATTTCGCCACCATTGGGGGGGGGTCCAAGATGGCAGGAAAATGACCCCTGTGGGACCGTAATAAAGGACCCCATGACAGGAGTAAAGAGCCCCAGGATCAGTAGGAAGGGCTTCAAGCCTGAAGGGAAGGGCCCCAGGACCAGAGGTCAGGGTGGCCCTTCATGGTTTCCTGCACCAAGGCTCTGGAGGTTTGAGGGTTGGAAAAGTTTAAAGTTTGCATTAAGTGGTGGGAAAAGTGCTAAGCACTGTTCTAGAGGTTAGGTTAAGGTTAGAAGTCAGGAACAGGGACATGTTTGGAAAAAAATGTTTTTGGTAGCAAAACAAAACTTGTGTCATCAGCTACAGCACCAAAACCAAAGAACAGGAGCTAAAACCCTATTCACCTGAGCCTGTGTCCCCCAGGTTAATAAAACAGGTTTTGTTACAAGTTATAATGCCAAAACTGCTTTAGGATTTCATCAAAGATAGCTAGACAGACTTCTTTATAAGGAACCAAAAATAAGACGGTGCTCTTGTGCTGTCATAAGTTACTAAAGAGCAAAACTATAATAGTTACATTTAGCAAATAATTTAACTTGACATGCTTTTTATTTTTATGGAACACATTTCTTTTGCATACCTCATTGCTTCTAATTTAGAACTTTAATATTATTCAGCTTATTTGTTGTATTATAGAGCAGAATGTATATTCAAATGCAATAATGAAAACAATATTAAACCAATGATTTCAAAAATTCTTAAAATCCTATGGATGTGCTAACATGGCAATGGAACAAAAATCCACAAATAAAGAAAAAAGTCCAAACAAGGAACATAAACACCATATAAACGTACTGAAACCTAGCTGGAATTAAACAAAATCGAAGTGTTGATGAGCAAAAAATGTTCTTAGTTTAAATAACATTTGTAGTGCATCAGTTTGTGAATATGAATAGCCATTTTAGAATCACTGAGCCAGATATGATAAAAACTGACTTAATTTTAAAACAATATTCCTAAAAACACAAAGCAGAAGGCAAGGAAGAAAGCTAATGACAGAATCTCACAGTCCCAGCTGCCTGGAAGAGCGGGGAGACAACATATGCAACAGACACACCTGAGAGGCTTGATTCACACCTCTGCAGTTTGCGTTTGATCTGTTCCTGCATTGCGTTTTGCATTTTTGCACCTAGTTTTTGACACATTTTTGATGGGTGTTGCGTTGATTTTTTTCTGTTGCTAGGCAGATTTCAAAACACATAAAAAATGCAGCAAAAATGCACTACGTGCTTTTCTGCAGCGTTTCCATTGAAGTCTAAAGAATCAAAAATTTTTGCCACGATTTCTGAGCGTATTTTAACTGCTTCCCCTGCTCCCTATAGCAGAAGTACTGCTACAGGGTGGCATGGCTGTGCAAAATCACGTGTATATATATATACAGGATTTGCATTTAGGGGGCACGCACGCTCGTCGTCTTACCCGCGCTGCCATTTTCGGCTAGGGATATCAATCACCAGGTCCCGGCCAGAGATTCCCTGCCGACACCTGGCAATTGCCAAGTACCGATAGTTCCCTAGTAAAAACACACACAGCACACAGTTAACCCTTTGAGCGCCTGAGATGCCCAGTATCTTTAGTACAGTGTCAGTGCTTTTTATTAGCACTGAATACTGTATTAGTGTCATTGGGATGTCAGTGGCAGTTAGTTCCTACTCAGTGTCAGAATGCCCGCCGCAGTCCCACTATATGTCGCTGATCGCCACCATTACTAGTATTAAAAAAAAAATCCAGCATATATACTGCCATTTGTAGACTCTTTAACTTTCACATAAACCAATTACGACTTAGTTATGACAAAATCTGTTTTTTAAAAGTTTTTTATTAGATATGTTGTATAGCAAAAAGTCAAAAATATTGTTTTTTTTTCAAAATTGTCGATCTTTTTTTGTTTATAGTGCAAACAATTAAAAACGCACAGGTGATCAAAAACCACCAAAAGAAAGCTCTATTTTTAGGGAAAAAAGGACATAAATGTAATTTATGTACAGCGTTAAACAACTCACATCAGTGGACGTGCATAGACATGAATGACAACTCGGCTGCCTGTTTACACCATTAAACACTTGCCCTCCAGAGGATTTACCCCCCTTCCTGACCAGGCCATTTGTTGCATTACAGCGTTGCGTTACTTTAACTAATTGTGCAGTCATGCAACACTGCACCTAAATGAAATTTGTGTCTTTTTTTTCCCCACAAATAGAGATTTCTTTTCGTGGTATTTGATCATCTCAGGGTTTTTTATTTTTTGCACTATAAACAAAAAAATATATTTTCGACTTATTGCTATTAAACATGTCCAGTAAAAAAAATTTAAAAAATCTAATTTTGTTATAAATTTAGGGCAAAATGTATTCTGCAACATGTCTTTGCTAAAAAAAAATCCCAATACATGTAAATTAATTAGTTTACGTGAAAGTTATAGCATTTACAAATGGCGGTATATATACTGGAATTCTTTTTCCACTAGTAATGGCGGTGATCAGCGACTTATAGAGGGACTGCGGTGGGCATTCTTACAATGGGAGGAGCTGACTCGGTGTCACTGACATCCCCAGTGACACCAATACAGTGATCAATGCTAATAAAAAGCACTGACACTGTACTAATGGCACTGGGCAGGAAGGCGTTAACATGTGGGGCAATCAAAGGGTTAACTGTGTGCTGTGAATGTGTTTTATTATGAGGCTGTGTGTGTGCTTTCCACAGGAGCTGACAGGGGAGAGAACTACCATATTTTTGGCTCCATAAGACGCACCTGACCATAAGACGCACTTAGGTTTTAGAGGTGGAAAACAAGAAAAAAAATATTCTGAACCAATGGACTGCAGACACTGCACATGAAATGACCAGAGACTGCGGACATAGTATAGGAGATGACCAGAGACTGCAGACATAGTACAGGAGATGACCAGAGACTGCGGACACAGTACAGGGGATGACCAGGGACTGCAAACAGTACAGGAGATGACCAGAGACTGCGGACATAGTACAGGAGATGACCAGAGACTGCGGACACAGTACAGGAGATGACCAGAGACTCCAGACACAGTACAGGAGATGACCAGAGACTGTGGACAGTATAGGGGATGACCAAGAGACTGCGGACAGTATAGGGAATGACCAAAAGACTGCGGACATAGTACAGAGGATGACCAGAGACTGCGGACACAGTACAGGAGATGACCAGAGACTGCAGACATAGTACAGGAGATGACCAGAGACTGCGGACACAGTACAGGAGATGACCAGAGACTGCGGACACAGTACAGGGGATGACCAGAGACTGCGGACAGTACAGGAGATGACCAAGAGACTGCGGACAGTACAGGGGATGACCAGAGACTGCGGACACAGTACAGAAGATGACCACAGACTGCGGACAGTACAGGAGATGACCAAGAGACTGCAAACAGTACAGGGGATGACCAAGAGACTGTGGACAGTGCAGGGGATGACCAAGAGACTGCGGACAGTACAGGAGATGACTAGAGACTGCAGATACAGTGCAGAAAATGACCAGAGACTGCGGACAGTGCAGGGGATGACCAGAGACTGCAGACAGTACAGGGGATGACCATAGACTGCAGACAGTACAGGAGATTACCAGAGACTGCAGACGGTACAGGGGATGACTAAGAGAATGCAGACCTTTGGAGAGAGAGGGGGTATCTGAATTTGACAGGTACCTGCTCCCACTTCCGCAGAGTTGTCCTCCCCTTAGTGTGGGCACCAGGCTGTGACAGCCGAGAGCCCACACTAAAGATGCCGACGTGGGAAGCCTTCTCAGTGCTGGACCGAGGAACAGGTAAGGTCCTGCTGCAGAGAAGAGATGAGCGGCCGGCCCGGTATTCTGGCACGGCGACGGTGGGAATATCGGACCGCCTGCTGCATATTCGCTCCATAAGACACACTGACATTTTTCCCCCTCTTTTGGGGAAAAAAAGTGCGTCTTATGGATCGAAAAATACGGTATATTGTTTACATACCGTTCTCTCCCCAATCTGTAATGCTTGGCGATCACCTATGAAGTATGTCTGGTTTATGAAGGTCAACTAGATAATGGACATGGAGGATCTAACGGCCACTCTCCACAAACCTAAAGAAACGTTCAGATCTACATGGATGCACTGGCAGTACTTCATATACACAGATGCTTATCTAAATGTGCTGTCTCAGCCTATGTGATCACCTAGCAGAAAATGAAAACAAATTGTTTTATTTCATTTCAATTCGTTATTTGACTAATTTTGTTTCATTCAATTAGTTACGTTTGTTCAACTCATTTTTGGGAATTAGTTTCATTTATTCGAATTTGTCTGAATTCAAAATTTCGAACGGATTTGAAAAGAATTTTAATGGATTCGAAAATAATTCTAATGGATTCAAAAACAATTCTAATGGATTCAAAAATAATTCCAACAAATTCGAAAACAATTCTAACGGATTAAAAAATAATAACATTACAATTCATAATCCACAATGATTTTGATGCTATAAAGGTTTTATGAAGAGTTGCGTGACCATATTGGAAATTTCTATTTCAGCAAAATTTTCACAATGCCTTTGTTGATCACTACTCACATCACCTTAGCGCAGCTCACAATTTTTTGTAAAGTATTTTAGTCTTTTTTAATCTATTCTATTTTTTTTTTAATCTTTTTTCTATTCTAATGTATTCTGTTCGAATCCAAATTCATTCTATTCAAAATTTGAATTTTGGAAGGCAGTTATATGCTTTCTATTTTATTCTATTCTATTACTTTTCTATACTATTCTATTCTTTGATTCTCTATTCTAATCTGTTCTATTCTTTCCTATTCTATTCTTTGATTTTCTATTCTAATCTTTTCTATTCTATTCTAATTAATTATATTCTAATCCTTTATTTTCTGTTCAATTTTGCTCGGTTTTACTCTATTATTTTCTATTCTATTCTAATAGATTATATTCTTTTCTTTGCTATTCTTTGATTTTCTATTCTAATCTGTTGTATTCTTTTCTATTCTATTCTTTGATTTTTGAGTCTAATCTTTTCTATTCTATTCTAATAGACTCTATTATTTTCTATTCCTTTATTTTCTATTCTTTTTTGTTCTGTTTTACTCTATTTTTTTCTATTGTATTTTGTTCTATTCTTTTATTTTCTATTCTGTTCTTTTTTCCTCTGTTTTTTTCTTTTCTATTCTATTCTATCCTTTTCTATTTAATTATTTTCTGTTCTATTTTATTCTATTCTTGTTTTCAAATTCAAAATGGTTTTCCAATTTGTTTTTGAATTTGATTGTGTTTTCAAATGTGCTTACGAATTCAAATTGATTCGAATTTCAGTCATTATTTCAGATTCATTTAAATTCATTACTATTGTAATTCGGATTTGGGATACATCCAAATATCTCGGAATAACAGAAAATTCATCCAAATTTTGATCCGGAACAAAATTAACTTCACATGTCTATCACCTACACACCCTCCTTCTCCCTCGGGGAGAACTCTGTTTCTTTCCCTTCTTCTCCTTTTTCTGAGGCACCTCCCCCTCCCCCCCCTTTCCCCTTCCCCTTCCCCTTTTTGATTCCCTGCCGGGTATTCCTCACTGTCTTCATATAAATGATTTTGATTTTTGACCATGACTCCCCACCAACTAGGCTTTGAAGCTCATCTCTGGTAATCAAAGGCATTTAAGTGAGGTCCTCGATATATGGGTTTTTACACTTGGGTGAGAAGTGAACATCTTTCTCTAAAATCAAACACTACCGTGATCTAGAGTACGTTTTTTTTTTTTCTCACTGCTAGTCTTTGCCCTTGTTACCCAATCAAGATGCTGGTCTACATTGTATGTATTAGTGGTTATGTTTAAAGATTGATTTATTTCTATTTGTATCTGATGGTTGTATTTCTTTTTCTATCCTGTGTATTCTATGACTTATATTTACTGTACAAATAAAGCGAATTACAAAAAAAAGTAAAGTAGCCCAAAGAAACCATTCAGAGTACTAAAATAAATTATTAATGCTGATAGATTCTCATACATTATTGCACTTATTATTATTACAGGTACTTATATAGCGCCGTCAATTTACACTTTTACATATATATTGTACATTTACATCAGTCCCTAACCCTCAAGGGGCGTACAATCTAAGGTCCCTAACTCCCATTCATACATACACATATTAGGGACAATTTAGACAGGATCCAATTAACCTACCAGCATGTCTTTGGAGTGTGGGAGGAAACTGGAGTACCCTGAGGAAACCCACACAGGCACAGGGAGAACATGCAAACTCCAGGCATGTGGTGCCATGGCTGGGATTCTAATCAACGACCCTAGTACTGCCAGGCGGAAGGGCTAACCATTTAGCCACTGTACACTTTACAGGTTGTTTGTTGGGTTTTTATAAGCCTGCAAATTTTCTCAGGATACAAATGTAAAACTAAAACTAGTACCTATCAGTCATCAGATTGTTATCACTAATGATCTGTTTAAGTAATACCACTTTAAAGTTTATGAGATAACTATTGTCAAAGGTCAGGTTTGTCATGATACTTTCTTGATTCATTTTTGTGAATTTAAGTTGCATGCTTTTAGTGGCCATTTAGATTAGTATGTAGAAGCTTTAAAGATGATGGAACATCAGAAATTAGTTTGCATGCAGCCTACAAGCCAAGATTGCTAGGGAAAAGAGCTAATTTGGAACCTATCCGTTACAATGACAAATTGCTCCTTCTCATGTCTGTGATTGCCATATCATTATACATCAATACCAACACGCAGTCTCTAATTGAAACAGACTGTCAGACTATCTTCCTTTTGCATGCAGTCAAACTATTCTCAAGGGTAAAAGAGTGAACATCTCACAAGTTACATCCTAAATTATGTATGTTTTAAACCTAGCACATTAACGTAAACCTGTACTTGGTTCACGCATAGAGAATTCAAGTTCGGGACATATACAGATCTTCAAGAAAATCAGACTGTTATGGCACAGGAATCTCAGCACAGTACAATCATTTTTCCCTGGCAATTGTATGCTTTCAGAGCAGTACAACGTGAATATGCTCCATATTTGGGGTTAAAGTATCCAGTCATATACCAATGGCTGGCCTCAGATGATACACAGAGATGAAACAAATCCTCCTACATAGGTTTTACCTGTCTATCTGCAGTATTCTCTGCTCTACAAAGTCCAGAATTTATAAAGATTTTCTGAGCTGTCAGAAAAAAAGGGGCAGAGAGCTGAAATTACATGTTGTAGGGCTCAGTGAGGAGAGCTCTGGGAGCTGATTGGAGGGAAGGGACACACCCCACTTCACACAGCACACAAAAACAGAGATGAGGCTTTCAATCTGCTAGAGCTCCATCCTCTGTCACCTTTTTTTTTTTTTAGTGTCATAAAAACATGTCAGAAGTGACTCATACAGATAACAGAGATAGGGGGCAGTAGACAGAAATAACAGTGCTCTGGATAGAGACAAGTACACACTATACTGTAGAGCACAGGTGTTAAACCTGTGGCCCTCCAGCTGTTGCCAAACTACAAGTCCTATGAGGCATTGCAAGACTGACAGTTACAAGTATGACTCCCAAAGGCAGAGGCATGATGGGACTTGTAGTTTCACAACAGCTGGAGGGCCACCAGTTTGACACCCCTGCTGTAGAGGGATATGTCTTTTTTATGTTTCATGTGTGAGGTTTACAACCAATTAAAGTTTTGGTAAGTAAAGGGTTGACTCTTATGGGCTCCCTTTAGATGTTATGTTTTAGGGTTAGGATTCAGAAGAAAAAATATTAAGGGATAGGTTAAGGTTTAAGTGTTAGGATAGTAGGTTAAAGTATAAATAAAGACAAAATTTCTTTTTTAGTTTAGGACAGAATGGAGAGGGTTCAGAATACTGGTCAGGCTTTCATTGCTGTCTATACCCAAAGTTAGGGAGATTTGTTTCTAAGTTTACAGCTATCACCGAAAGGGGAAAGTAAAAGAAAATTCCAAATTTTGAGCTGTCCCCAGAACAGTAACAGAAAGGATATACAGTATTCCAACAGATGATAAAATAAGCTTTAGTCATTACATAGAAAACACTTAAAAAGCTACATGTTGAGTCCCACGCTTACGCTTTACAGCCTAATACAGGCCTTAGGCTGGCCATACATTATACAATTTTCTTGAGATTTTTGGTTTAGATTTACCAAAAACCATATAATATGAAGTCAAACCCAAACAACACTTTCAATTGTATTCAATTAGGCAGGCTCTTGCACTACATAGAAAAGGTAAATCTAAAGGAAATTGGGCAGAAAATTGTATAGTGTATGGCCAGCCTTAAATCATAGAAACCTAGGACTTAGGCTGGCATTACATTATACAATTATCTTCCAATTTTCTGCCCAATTTCCTTTAGATTTACCTTCAACTGTGTAGTGCAAGGGCCTGCCTAATTGGATACAACTGAAAGTGTTGTTTAGGTTTGTCCTCCTATTATATGGTTTTTGGTAAATCTAAACTAAAAATCTCCAGATAATTGTATAATGTATGGCCAGCCTTACAGCCAAACTACTTTTAAAACCTCCACACCAGGGGCGGACTGACAACTCATGGGGCCCCTGGGAAAT